GTGCGAAGTAGGACTTCATTTATTGTGAGGGCACTTGAAACATGAAGATATGAATGACTTAATCCCTAACTTAGGCAATATCAATTCAGGTAAACACTTAAGTATATTTGAGATACCATTTGAAATTTTAGTGATTACTCAAAGTTGACCTCAAATTTGTCTGAAAATAGTTGAAGATGACTCATATGCATCATGCTAATTGTTGGTACCAACTAAAGTCAAAACATTGTCAACCATGAATTGGTTCATTTATCAAAAGATGTCATTTGTAGAAAAAATCAAGACAAAATAAAAAATAATTTTAGATTTTTATGAACTACGTTTGACCTGATTCTTGCTATACAAGATACGTAGGCAGTCTTGCAATGGACTCGATCTCGAGAAATAAAATCTTATATCCGTCAATGATAAAAAAATGGATCATCTTTTTTAAAAAATAATAAATAAAAAATAATTAATTAAAAAGACTTTCAAAATTCATCAATTTAAAAAATGAGCATAGTTTTATTTGTTAAAAAATATACACTACCGTTTCTAGAAAACAAACACGCTATCATCATTCATTTGTAGGGAACAAACTCCCTAATTGCATATTGTCTTGCGTTTCTTTTTGGAAAGTGTATTTCTCATTTATGCTACTAATAATTTATATAAAAAATAAATTTTCTAGTGCAAACTGGACTAAAATAAAAAAATGTTGTGGTGATTCTAAATGATGATTCTATTTAATACAATATTCTTTAATATAAGATTTAGAATTAGCAGGACCCTCCTTATAATGGGACTAGCAGGACCCTCCTAAATAATGTGACTAGAAGGACCCTCCTAGATAATGGGACTAGCAGGACCCTCCTGGATAATGGGATTAGCAGGACCCTCCTGGATAATAGGACTAGCACGACCCTCCTGGATAATAGGACTAGCACGACCCTCCTGGATAATGGGATTAACAGGACCCTCCTGGATAATGATATTAGATTACTTTCTCATAGGATAAACACTTCCTAGTCTAGATTTTTAATTTTATTTTCTCCTAAAATAAACACTTCCTAGTCGGAGTTTATGTTTTATATTTATATTTGCTATTAATTCACAAAATTCTCCCAATGAAAATTGGGGCAAAAATTTTATTTATTTTTTGTTTGTGGTGGTTTTCAGGTTTTCTCAAGCGAAAAATGAATTTGAAACTCAAGAACAAAGTTTCAATTTATTTTAGAATGATCAATTCCATGATGGTTAGAATTAATTTCTACAATGCATGTAGCAGTCTGACTTACTCACATTTTTTACTAGTCAACTTTTGATCAAGAAAACACGAAGCTATTTAAGAGCATTTTTCAAATTGACATTTTGAAGAATGTCAAAAGTTTCGTCTCAGTGGCAAGTTCATCTTCCATTCCAATTCTAGGTTAAGATATTCACCCAAAAGGTGATATCTTAAAGTTAAAATTCAAGTGAAGATTCAAGAAAAGTTGTGTGGATAGAAGTTTGTACATTTGTTTTTCTTTTCATTATTAGCTTTCAATTTTATATTTTTATGTAAGGATAAGAGTCGCGATCTAAAGCCACGATAGAATCTCACTTAACTCCAACTCAACACCTCATCTCCTTGAACTACATGTGACCCGATTCCCTTATAACCTGGGATAGGTAGGTTGTCCAAAACAAAGACTCGGTCATAAATTTTGGTCTTTCAAATAATAGTTCGGTCAAAACTTGTCACTTTGTCTACTTCTTTGTTTGAAAACTCTTCGTGTTTCCAGTCAAAGAGGGGTAAACTGTAGACACGTAATTTTTGACCGAAATTAAGTTTTATACCCTTTTTAGATCTTAAATATTTTTTATAAATATTTTCACTTTTATCTTATTTTATTAAGTTTATTTTTAAAAGATATGAAAATCACAAAAAAATAGAATCACACTTTAAGGTATATTTTTATTTATTCATTCAAAGTTTTAATAAATTAGTGATTTTAATTTTTATATATTTTTTTAAAAATCAAGCTATTTAATTTTTCTTAATTAATATTATTATAATTTTATAACAAAAAAATAATAATTAAAAGAAATTAACATACCCATTATCACACCCCCACTTCACCATTTCTCTCCACTCACCCCACACCCCACTCAACTAATCAAACTCTTCCATCACACATGTACATAACTATATATAAATTAATAATGGGAGAAAAAAAAAGAAGAAAAAGTGGTACAAAGGAAAAGAGAAGAAAAATAACCAAAGAAAAAAATGAGCAAAAAGAGGAAATAGGGGTACAAAGGAAAAGAGAAGAAAAATTTTAGACATCAAAAGGAAAAAAAATCAACAAAAGAGAGAGAAAAAAACTTTTCACCTTTTTTTCCTAAGGAGCACACGCACAAAAAAACAACAACTCAAATAGTTGAATTCGAGTCAAATTCGTGGTCCTTATCGAGGTATTTTCTTTCTGAATTAATTATCACAAAAGGTAACACTTGAACTTTATTATATTATTTGGTTTCAGAATCATACAAAATAGGAGTTCAATAATATAAAGTGTTTTAAATTTATGCATGTTTAATTTTTATATGATATGAAATACATTGAGATTTTATATTATTAAATTTAGATTAAAATTTATATAACATGTATTCATTCTTGCTTGCTTTAAGGTTTCATTTTATCTTGTTCTTCATTAAAATTCGAAGATTAATATTCTAAAGTATGCAGTTAGTAATAATAAGATAAAAATTGGTACTTATTTGTTAAGTTACTTTTTCACTTTGTATATTTAATAAATTGTATTTATTTATTTTTAAAATAAAAATAAAATAAATCAAACCTACACTATCTTTACATTTCTTTTAATGCGAAACTTTTTTTAAAAAAAAATTAATTAATTTATTCATGTTGAAAGAATAAAAAATAAAAATTTATATAAAAGGAAAAGATGTAAAACCAAATTTATAAAACATAAAAGTAAAAAAATAAAAAGGAGAATTAAAAGAAAAGTATAAGAAGAAAGAGAAACAAAATTAAAAATAAATAAATAGAAAAACAATATTAAAGTGACCAAAAACTTGTCAAATAAATAAATAAGTAAAATTGATTTTAATTATTGGGTTCTTTTCATTTTAATGACTAAAATAAGAAAAAGTAAAAAATTTATTTGAAAAGGTGTATTATTTTAATTATTTTTATCTTATGTTCTTATTAATATATTGTTCATTTTTTTAGAAAAATAAAACTAAGATAATGTATAATTTAGGCTTATGATAATGATAATACTAATAAAATATTAAGATCCAAAAAACATTAAATTACTTTTAGTCTTTAAATACAAACAAATAAACAATTTGTGGTGAGGTTAGAAAGAGCTGCTATCAATAAACCACACACTAATAAAATATGATAATTTTACAAAGTAATTTAAAATAAATCAAAGAAAGCGGTACATAAGTAAATTGTTAGGTAATAAACATAATGTATTTAAAATTAAATCAAGTCATATAAAAGTCAATAAAGCGACCGTGCTAGAACCACGGGATCGAGGGGTGCCTATAATGCCTTCCCTTCGGTCAACAGAATTTCTTACCCGATTTTTGATTTCGCAGACCATAAAATAACGAGTCAACTTCCTTTTGATTAGGGATGTAAATAAGGTAACTTGTAACACCAAAACTCAATTTCAAGTGGCGACTCTGAAATACAATAATCTCTTTTTGAAATGTCACTTTAATTGAAAAAACTCTTTTCTTTCAAAACAAGCAATTCAATTTTGCGAGAAAAATAAGGGGTGTGACAATATATATATATATATACACACACACACATATATTACGTTTTAAAAAAATATTATTCATAACACAAAAAATCAAATAAGTTAAATTATAATAAAAAGATTGCTAAGTATGAAAATTTATTCTTAAAAACTAATATATCTTTTCTTTTTTAAAAAATAATATGCCCATTCTTTTAATTAAATAGGTTTGATAAATTAAATTAGTCTATTATCTAAAAAAAAGACTTTAATGATATGTCATGCTAACGAGGAGAAAGTTGATACATTTGAAGTTTCAAATATATTTTAATTAAAATAATGATAATCGAGTGATATTTCGATTATAATTTAAAACATAAATAATGTTTCGTCTTCACTTTTCCCTATGTGACATTCTTATTTCAAATTGTCTCGTGTACTTATTATTGATGCATTATTATATGTATTACTTATGCCTTATATATCAGTACATCTCTTTCGTGCTGACACTTCTATTTCTAAGGATACTGCATTTTTGTTGCAGGTTTAGGTAGAGATTCAACTTGTGTTCTACGTCTAGTATGTTATGTATTGCTTCGCTGGCCTCAATGTGAGTTGTTACCTCATATGACGGTCTTGTAGCTTAATCAAGAATCACAACTATGGGTTTTAATTCTCTGTGTTTTCAAAAATATTTATTAATCAATCAAAAGATATAAAGGAGATTTGATGAACTTTTAAATCAATCTTAGTATCAGGATCCTTGTCTTAGCTGTTGGAAATAAACATTATTCACATTTAAATCTCTAGATTGAATATGATGCAAACAATAGGTAACTATACTCACACTGTCGATTCTTTCCTATTACATCCACTTGGTAAACCAGCATATATTCTCCAACAATCAATGACATTTAATACTTTCTTTGTTTAAAAAATATACAACTATCTTTTTTAATTTGTTTAAAAAATAATAATTTTTTTAACACTTTAATTTTAGCTTTTCGGGTCACTATATTATTTGACATACTTATTTCAGGACTAAAAAATTGAAAAACCTTTACCTTTTAAATTTAATGTCAAGTTAAATTATGTCATTCTTTTTTAAACGGATGAGTTAACTTTTTGATTAAACTTTCTATCATCTTTCTTTCTTAAGTCTATATGAGCTTTTTAAAAGCTTGTTTAACATCCCACATAGAAACATTTTATAAGGTAGTTTGCTGATGAAAAGTAAAAGGAAACCTAACAATAAGGCAATTAAAAAAAAAAAGTACTCATATATTCCATTAAGAATGAAGATCAGCACATTTCTCTTTGCAACAAAAAGAACAAAAACAATTTTCACCAATGCAATTTCCTCCAAGAAGTGGCCCTTTAACAGCACCTGGTGGCTTTGCTCCAAACTGTTGCTTGCATTGGATATTGCAATTATTTGAATCACAAGGTTGGGGGACTTCAAAGGAAAATAGACACACTTTTGCCCCTTTTGTTGTAGTAACTACATTTATTTTGACAAGAAAAAGGGGGAAAAAAAAGATCTTTGTTAGTACAAATTAAAAATAAATAATTATTTGGTGATTGCATTATGACAAAAAATAACTTTTAGCAGGAATAAACATGTATATTAATAAAGAGTGTTAACTCTTATCAACATTAATTAAATAAAAATTTGTGAGTACAAATTAAAAATTACATATATCTATGTTTATTTTATAATTAAATGTTTACTATCTAAATACTGTTACAACTTTTCTCAGAGATGTAATTTTAACAATGATTTACTGGTCCAAAAATTAAACAATAGAAATAACTAGATAACTTTCTATATAGAATTTTTATATATGGTACTGGCAATTTATTCACATGGAACACCAGTCTTGTTTATAAATGTAAAATCAAGGATCTACTCAACAAATAAAATTTTATGGGTTAGGTTTTGTATTTAAGAAAACAATAAAAACCACAATTTAGAATTTGAAATCCTATTAATTCTTTGAATAATTTGGAATTTGAAGTTGAAGTTGAATTTTTTTAAAGAAAAATTCCTAAAAGATAATATTTATTTCAAATCAAAAGTTCAAAGCAAGTTCAAATTTGGTGACAGTACAAATTCATAATTTTTCATGAATATTTTATAAATTGAAGAATATGAAACTTACCAAGAATAATGAAGAGGGAAAATACAAAGACAGCAAGAGTAGAAAAGTTCTTCATGATTTTGAATCAGTTCACTAATAGAACTTTATCTCTAAATAAGCACAAAAAATGATTTAAGGTGTTGTGGATTTTATAGGAACAAATAAACATAAAAATAGAAAAGATGAGCCTAAAAAGGAAAATAATTCTTTCATGTTTGTGTTTACAGTTGTTGATTTGGTGTGATAAAGAATCAAAGAATATTCTTAAATTAAATGAAATTGAACAAAATATATTTTGTTGATTGTTTAGTCTATAATTATCTTTATTATTAATGATTTGGTTGAAAAATGTTTTAAAGCGATCTTTTTCTTAAATAGGAATAAAGCATTTTAACCCAATTAAATAATAATAGGGAAATTTTTGAACCAATAATTAACGAAAATATACTTCTTTTTAATCAATTTTTCATTCTTAAAGGACATTTTAACTATTTTCCTTTTTTAATTACAGGTGTTGCTTTGTACAATACATATTACAATTAGTATTTTACTAAATGTAGAATACAAAATTAAGTACACAATAAAAAATGACTTAAATAACATTAAATCACACATGGAAATAAAATTAAGACACGCAAATAATTCTATAAGTAAACCTTATTAACGCGATTATACTCACTAAAAAAATAGAAAGATTTAATTGGTAACTAATATTATTAGAAGAAACATTTTAATAATAATAGGGACATTTTATACCAATATGTTAATGGAAGATATTTTTCTTCAATTTTCCTACTTTAAAAGGACATTTAAATTATTTTCCTTTTAAATTAGCGAAAAAGCGGGTGTTATTTTCATCTATTTTATCCTCATTGACCAAGTTATTTAAGAGAACAACTAAGATTCAATGGTCTGAAGATTGTGAGAACATCTTTCAGGAATTGACATTGCTCCAGTTTTGACCCTATCGGAGGGAACATTAGGTGTTGTTGTTTATAGCAATGCGTCTAGAGTCGGACTTGGTTGTGTACTGATGTAGAATAGTAAGATTATAGCCTATGTCTCCGGACAACATAACACTCATGAAAAAAATTAACCCCATTATTTCAAGATCAAAACAGTAGTCACTATTTCTGTGGTGTACATGTGAATGTATTAACTGACTACAAGAGTCTCCAGTATGTTTTCAGTCAGAAGGAGCTTAATCTAAGACAAAGAAGGTGGTTAGAGTTGCTAAGAGATTATAAAAAGAGTATCCTTTATCACCTAGGTAAGACTAATGTTGTTTCATGGGATGTAATGCTCATATTGTAGAAGGCAAGAAAGATTTAGCTAATGAAATTCACATACTTTCCCGTTTGGGAGTCCGTTAGTGAGATCTAATGAACGCGCAGTTGTGTTGATGAATAGGGCTAAATCATCACTACTGTCTAAAGTGAAGGAGAAATAAAGACAAAAAACCTCTTTTACTTGAACTAAAGGTGAATGTTCATAAGAAAAAGGTAATAACTTTTGAACGGGGGGAATATGGTTATTTGAGATATCAAGGTGGTATATGTGTACTAAAGGTGGATGAGCTCCAAGAGAGAATTATATAGGAAGCTCATAGTTCGAGATACTCAATCCATCCCCACAAATGTATCATGACTTGAGAGAAGTCTATTGGTTTAATAGTAAGAAGAGGTGTATTGCCGATTTAATTGCTAAGTGCTAAAATTTCAACAAGTCAAAGGTAGAACACCAAAGGTCCAATGGGGTGGCTCAGAACATAGCTCTTTAGTAATGGAAGTGTGAGATTATTAATATGGTCTTTACTAGCTTGTCGCGATCCCGTTGGCGGGATTATTCGATTTGGGTAATTGTCGATTGGATGACTAAATTAGCCCATTTCTTGCCGTTAAAGACTACAAATTCAATCGAAGAACGCGGGAGTCATTTTCCCAATAACGGACAGAGAAATGGATGAGTCCGGTGCAATGAGTGTCAAAAAAGGTAATATCATGGTAGTTCCCACTAACAAGGCTGAGTTAGTTTCCCACTAGACCCATAACCGGGTGGTGAATGTGCATATATTATAGGAAGCTAAATTGTTGGACCGAAAAAGATAATTTACCCATGCCCTTTATTGATAAAATATTTTTGATAGGCTAGCTAAATAAGGTGGTATTGATTTCATGATGGTATTACGGATACAACCAATAGTCTATTACACCAAAGGATCAAGAAAAAGACAACGATTACATGCCCCTATGGAACCTTCTCAGTCATGACAATACCGTTTGGGATATCTAATGCTTTTGCTAGTTTCAACTTCGTATGCTATTGATTTTTACAGATATAGTAGAAGATTCTTTGGAGGTTTTCATTGAGGATTTCTCAGTTGCGGTTTATTCTTCAAAGGAATGTTTGAAGCATCTGGAGAGAGAGTGTTGAAACATTTGTGGATTCGAATTAGGGTCTAAATTGGGAGAAGTGTCACTTTATGGTCAAAGAGGGTAAGCTGATTGGGCACAAAATTTCTAAGGAGGGTATTGAAGTCGACCATGCTAAAATTCAAGAGATCAAAAAGTTACCTACCCTAATTTTGGTGAAAAGGTGTGAGGTATCTTCTTGGGCATGTCGAGTTAGATAGATGGTTTATCAAATATTTTTCCAAGATTGATATTCCATTGTGTAAACCCCTTGAGAAAGAAAACACATTTGTCTTTGATAATTCTTGTATGAAGCCTTTCAAAACACCCACAAAGAAACTTATCTTAGGCCATATAATCATTCCCCCGATTGGGACCTTCCTTTGAAAATGATGCACGATGCTAGTGGTTTGGATTTAGGAGCTATTCTTGGATAGAGCAAAAACAAGTTCTTTCATTCTAAAGTATTATGCTAGCAAAATGCTAAATTATGCTCAAAAGAATTACACCATGACGAAACAAGAATTGTTGGTTTTGGTCTATGGGTGGCATATTTATTGGGTACCAAACTGCTGGTTCACACAAACCACACAACCTTAAGGTACCTAATGGCTAACAAAGAGGCTAAGCCAAGGATGATCCGATTGGTGTCATTTCTTTTAGAGTTTGACATCGAGGTAAAAGATAGAAACGGGTGTGAGAACCAAGTAGGGGACCATACTTTAAGGTTGGAGGTAGATACTTGAGTGGTTGACGAAAAAGACATTGATGATGCTTTCCTAGATTTTATTGTATGTGGGCTATTACCTAATGATTCGCGTACCCATCAAAACAGGATATTCCTATTTGATGTGAAGAATTATATATGTGATGAACCTCTCCTTCTTAGAGGGTGTGCTGACAATATTATTTGGTAGTGTACTGGAAGTTGAAGTAAATGAGATTTTTAAAGCATGCCAGGTTTTGCCAATAGGTTGTCATCATAGGCATATTCATACTACCTCGTAACTTTGACAATCTGGCTACTATTGGCCTACTCTGTTCAGGGATGCCCACACATTTTGCAAAAATTGTGTCCAATATCAACTACAAGCGAGTATATCTACGATATATGATGAATTTACACTTTTGCAGATCCTTGAGATTGAATGGTTGTTCAATGTTTAGGGGATTGATTTCAGGGGTCCATTTCCTAATTTTTTTGGGAATATGTACATCCTTGTAGCATATGATTATGTCTCGAAGTGGGTAGATGTTATAGCCTTACAAAAAAATAAACATGAAGTGTTACAAAGTTCTTAAAGAAGAACCTCTTCACAAGATTTGGTACTTCAAAGGCAATTATAAGTGATGATGGATCACATTTTTGCAATCATCAATTTGCAGCCTTACTCTCTAAATATGTGGTCAAGAACAAAGTGGCTACACCATATCATCCACAATCCACTGGACAAGTTGAAGCGTCTTATAGATAAATGAAGAGTATCTTGGCCAAAACAATGAATGACCATCGTAGTGACTGGTCTAGCAAGCTTGATGATTCACTTTTGGGCCTACCTTACGACATTCAGATCTTTAATTTGTATGTCTCCTTACAAGTTGGTGTTTGGGAAAGATTTCCATCTCCCAATAGAACTCGATCACAAGGCTTTAAGGGATTAAAGAAGATAAACACAAATTGGGATGTTGCCTCGAAGACTCTGTGCGTCATATTCTGTAGCTAAAAGATTTTTGCTTACAAGACTATGGAAGCTCAACATTGAATAGGGAGAAAGTGAAATAGTGTCATGATGCTAAGATACTACTTTGTGAGTTTCAGGCGTGGGATATAGCCGTATTATTAAATTTAAGGTTAAAACTCTTCCACGACAAACTTATATCCAATTGGATTGGTCCGCACAGTGTCACACAGTTGTATGGAAATGGAGCGATTGAAATTGAAGATGAAAAAGGGATGTGATTCACAGTGAATGGTCACAGAAGGCCATTATGTGAGGGATGTTTATGTGGTGTATCTGGATGTTGAAGAATTATCCGTGGTATGTCGTGATGTCAAATGAGGTACTTATTAGGAGGCAACCCATATGTTAGTTGTTTTCAATAATGTTGGTGTTAGCATGTGAGGTATTGAGTAATGGGCGATGATGTAAGAAACTTGATGATTCCCTAAACACAGTAGGTAAAGCTCCAATGAGTCCATCCTTTGGGAGGCTCAACCTTAGGGGATTACCATTGGTTTTTATGATGATCATCACCTCTTAGGTGATGCGCTAATATCATTTTGTGAACTAGTTGTTGTCTCCTAAATCAGGCATGAAAAATAGACATTACACTTAAAATTTCAGTGATGCTCATGGAGAAAAATGATTTACCGAGTCACTTTGGGCAAACATTTCTTAGCCCACAGAAGTGAAGCAAATATATCCTTACTTCAACTTCATTAAGATATCCAGGTCTACTTGGTGAATCATCGATCTAGTAGGCTACCATTTCAAGTGCTTACTAAGGAAATTGTTCTACCTCTATCTCTTTATTTCAATTGCCACGTATTGATGACACCGCTTTCTTCTTTTTGGTGGGGCTGAGGGCTTTCGTTCCAATATTTCCTATTTTTTTCTATTTTGTTATCTTGAGTTAGAGTTATCTTTTAAGTAAATGTGTAAATGTGTCTCTTTATTTGTATCTCATTCCCCCTTTATGTTTCAATCCTCAATGTGTTCAAATTGTGAAATGCTTGATGTTTTTATTGTTAACAATTTGAAGATCGATTTTGTTCAATATGAATATCTTTAATAGTACTCATGATGAGCATGATACATCCTTTTAGTGTTGCGAGGATTAAATCGATGTGGTTGCACCTTTGATCTATCTCTTTTAATCTTTTGTTGACTAGATGCAATTTTATTTAAGCCTCGGATGTGCATCACAGTTACACCTTTTTAGAATCTTTTTGGGATGTGCTAAATGAGTGTATTTGAATTTCCATGTGTAGTGATGTTTTACTAGAAAGCATGCATGTAGAGTCCTAGAATTTCCTTGTAGGTCAAATTGTATGAATCTTGGTAAATGTAAGACATGATCTTGCGCAAATTTCAATGAGGGAACCAAAATGTTCATATAAACTGTTGTGAATACCTTGTGAGGAAGTGCATTCATTTTTAACACTAATAATGAATGCCTAAATTATTTGTTGACAACCAAATGAATCCTCTTGAGACAAAGAAGCCATACCTTCTCACCAAAAATACTTTTTGAAGTATTGTGATGTTTGAATAGACAACTATTGCCAAAATCCTATGTTCGTGATGTTGAAAGGAAGGATAAATGAAATTCAATTGATGGCAAAAGGGAGGAAGAGATATGACGCAAATCTAAAAGTTTTGCTAAAGGAAGGAACCACTCATCTATTAAAAAAATGTGATATTGATAGCTTGGAAAAATGAATATGTAAAAGAGAAGTGGAAATAATAAAGGGGGAGTCCAAATAATTTGAGTGGAATGTCAAGATTTGAGCTCTCAAATGAAAAGAAAGCAATAGAACATGAGATGAGGTGATGATGATTGAAAAAAAACTTATAAAAGGGTATAAGTCACCAATCCAAATTCACCATATCTTAAATCTCAACTCTATTACAAGCCCAAAAACCCTGAGACCTTCCATTAACTAGGTTGTATGATGATTGGAAAATATGGGAAAACCTATGGGACAAAACTTGCTTGGGTTTCTTTGTTGAGAGAGTGAGAGTTATATTGATTCCTATTATGTTGATTGATCTGGATTGTGAAAGAAAGAAATTGTTATTGATGTGAGTGCACTTGAATGCATTTCTTGAAACACATTGTTTTTTAAGACAAGAAGACAAGTAAGCTTGAGCTTGTGTTGACTCGAGGTAATTTCTGACAATTTTTATTGATGCCAAGGTCATTTTTGGTGAGGTATTTCTATGCCAAGGTCATTTCCCCCGAGGGATTTTGATGCCAAGATCATAACTAGCAGGTTCATGAACTCTAGGCGGTTCGTTTGAGTTTCGATTGACATTGTGCACGTTAAATCTTTAAATTTGATATCCCTTTGTACTTGATTAATGTGCTTTTATGTGATTCACTTATTGTTATAGATTTACTTGAAACTTGTGGTTGTCATATTTGATACATTATGACAATTGGATATGATTATGTGTAATGACCTCTAGGCCATTCATGTGTTTATGCCGCATGTACATAATTTAGATCTTTCCTATAGAGACCCCAAGTCAATTATGACTTGCTAGGATTGATAGTTCGGTAACCTACTCATTCCTTTAATTTTTTTTGTGAGTTTTACTGTTTTAGAGATTTTGAACCTTCAATGGTCAGCTTGATCAAAAGCATAAGAAGATGACCTCATAATCCAATTCTGAGGATTTCATCAGCTCTAAAAGGGTCATTTTAGGAGAGTAGCATGGTCTTCATGACTCCTAATTCGTTTAGTGCAAGTGTATGAAATTAGGTAATTTAAGTTTTAGTTATAGCCTAAGTTTGACTTTAGTCAACATCCTGAGTAAACAAGCTTGGATGAGAACTTCTTCAGCGCCGTTATTTTTTGAATGTTGAATTTGGTCTATAATGACCCTTCATTGGGATCTCGAGGCTTCCAGGTTTGTTCGGATCCCCTTTGTGGATTTTAACTAAAAAAGAGTTTGGGTGTTGGACCCACTTTTTGTTGAAATGACCTCGCATAGGAATTTGGACTTCTCCCTTGAGTTTAGAATATCAAATTTTGTAGTGTTCTTTCTCTCGTATGCATGCATAGTGTTTCAAGCGAATTCAGAAAACCCCATCAAAGAATTCAAAGTTCAAGTAAACTAGGTGAAGTGCCTAGTTATTTTTGCTTTTCCTCGTAGAAATAATGCTTTAGGGTTGATTACTATTGTATCGAGGGTAGCACCAGGCTAGTAGGGTTGGTTGTGTGACTACATGCTATTTAAAATTACCTGAAATTTTTTCTCATGCATGTTTGGCCTTAGCCTATGACAGGCTAGTGTTGCCTTAGACTCTCTAACCTTGTACTATGTGTTGATGCCCAATTTTGATCCTCGCCAATAATGATTAGTTGACAAGCTTCTTAATTCTAAAACGATTTGAAATATTTAGTTTTTTTTTACAAAGTTTGAAATATTTTGCAAGTTATTTTAGAGTATTTTTACCATTTTTATAATTGTTAAGTAATATGTATGTTTTATATAATTATGTATATATTTAGCTTATTTTATAAATATTCGAAAATCATCTCAAAAAGATTTTGGTTTCAATTAAATATGTTATTTAAATAGTTTAGTTATATTATAGTTTATACTTTAGATTATTTAACGTATGTTTAAGTTAATTATTTTATCTCGTTGAGACTTAGAAGCTCATTAATTAACTTGTATTAATTCATTTATTGAGCTATTAGTTTTATCCTTAACCCATTTCAGGACCAAGTTTTTGGACTTTTGATATTTTCGATTGCAGCAGCCCATCTCTTTTCCAACTCCAACAATTCTCTTTTAGTTCCCAGCCAAACATACAACACATGATAACAACTAGACGCACACCAAATGTGACCCCACCGCACCCTTCGTTCTTCTCTCCAAAAGTTCAATGAAACCCAGTTCATGCACTGAAAAAGCCCAGAACTCCAGCAAAGCAGCGGATCAGACAACACCAAAGTCGTGTGACGTTAGTCCTCTCTTACTCTCGCGCGTCGTCCTCTTCTCTCATACATGGAGCAATTTAGAGATTCAGTCCATGTGGCTCCATCTCCTTGCCAAATTGTCCTTTGCTCAAAATCGACGGCCTACATTATCAATCCGTTGGGAACTGGTACAATTCCTGCAACAACCTTATCTCTTAAAGAGGGATTTGAATTTCGAATGGGGAAAATATCTTTTAAAATTCCCCCCAAGTCTGACCTAGATTTTCTTCTATAAATTCCCCATCTTCTTCTTTATTTCGGGGGTGGGGGAAAAATAGAGTTAATGGGTTACGAAGAATAAAAGGGGAAGAAATCGGAAGAAAGTAACACTCCAATAGCCACATTTTAGATTTTCTTTCTTACGAAAGCTTTCGACGGATCTTATAAAATTTATAGTAGTTTAATCGTATGTTGATTCCAAAAAGAATCATGAGTTTCTTTTAATCTTGGTTTCTCACTTATTTACTATTCTCCGAAGTTCTTGGATTCTCATTGTGATCGTGGAAAGCTTTTTCCCTGATCGTCTAGTCTCAGTCGCTGCCAAGGAAGAGGTAATGTTTCCTCTATAATACTCTCTTCATTTTTTATTTTTTTCTTATTTGATATGGTGTTTCGATGTAGTGAATTCACGACTTTGTTGTTAGATTGTCGTTAATCAGTTTTGAATATTGATAACATGTATGCTTAAGTAATCCCTTTGGCTAACTATTGTCTATCGTCTTGGCTTTTTAGCTTTATCATGACAATTTCTATATTTCACTTCTCAAGCCTATTTCGTCATCTACTTCATTTGCTTTCGATTGTTGAGTCTGCTTTTATCCATTTGCTCTACTTCCAAGCATTTGTTTTTCTTCTCTTTATATTTTGGTTCTTATTTTAGTCATGTTAGGTGTACATTATATTAATAGTCAATATTTCCTTTGTCCTACTTGAAGATCTGTTTTGTTACCTTAGTAAAATATATGGCAGAGCTCTTAGTTTCTTTCTTCATTTTCTTTTCACTGTAAATTTCATGCTCCTCTTTCCATTTGAGTTTATGTCTCATGCTTGAGTTTATGTTTCGATTAGAAGGATAGTTTTATTTGATTAACCTTTCTTCCTTAGGCTCTTTCAATATATATGGATATGCATGTTGTTTTTATATCTAGTTATCATACTCCAAAGTTTGAAAATGTTTTCTGTATGCTTGAAATTGTTTGAAGATTATTCCTCTGTAACTTTATTGTTAGTTGCTATTATTGTGTAATCCCATTTAAATTTTCTGTACTCTCTTGTTTGTAGTCAGAATTTTGTTTGCATTTTATTTATTTGTTTTGATTACTACAATGTTTATATAAGTTTTTGAGTTCAAATTGATGGATAATGTGTACTCCATGGTTAAGTTTATTTGAACTTGACATTTGTGCCGGTATGAACTTCAAATTCATTATTTTCTCAAACTTTAATATGATTTAGGCCATCACTAATCCTTATCTTTTCTTTTTCTTTTTCTTTTCACTGTGCCTTTAAAATTATCGATTGAGTTCGCTTGATTCAATGATCTATCTCATTGCATTTCTTAATAGGCCATGAAATCCCAAATATTTATGTCTTGAGTCAGCTGGTAGCAAGTCGTTAAGCAAGTTTCTGGAGGTTAAACAAAGCTGGAATTCGAATTTTCAAGCTCTTAAATGCCAGAAAAAGATGTTGTATACACTGATATACATGATTTATACAGTAATATACAGTCGTAAATACTGTATACAGGTTCAAAAACGACGAAGAAGGTTGAAAAATACAGAAAATGTGAAGTTCAAACTTAAATATAGATTTAGGAGTTCAAAACGAGTCAAACACTTGATGTATATCATATATAGACTTGGTGTATATCTTATCATTTGAAGATTGAAAGAAGCCCAAAAAAATTTAAAAGAATGGCCCCGCAGCAGTTTTTTTTTTTGGAAATTTAGCAAAACAGCAACATTTTAGTCTTTAGGGGACTCCTTAACAACATTTTAACTATTTAGTAAAAATAGCAATATATTAGTTGTTAACATGAGGAGTTATATATATTTTTTTATTGTTATTTAAGAGAATATGTATATTTGATATAAAGAATTGGAGAAAAAAAATGAAAATTGAAGCATCAAAAAAGTAACAAGATTTTCATAATTGTTAAGTTACATTTCAAAAGCTGATTTTTTGCCATTTTTTTAGTTGAACGTTTTTTTTCTCGTTTGTATCAACTTTTGTTGTACTTTTTGTTGAACTTTATATCATTTCTTAAATTGTATCCGATACTCTATGTTATTTGACATACTTTTTTCACATTATGTTTATTTTATTTATTTATCAGAATTTTGTATCCTTTCTTAAATCGTATTCATTCCATTATGTATGTTATATTTATTTTCGTTCTAGTTTTCATGTTTTATTAATAAAATTTGTATTTATTTATTAGTAAGTATTAATTCCAGTACGTATGTCAAATGAATCTATAGTTATTTAATATAAACATATTTGTATTCATGTAATTTTTTTGTATTTATTTTTCTTTTTAAAATTATGTATCCTTTCCTAAGTCGTATACATTCCAATAGGTATATTATGTGTATTTGTATTCATTCTAGCTTTTATATTGTATTTTGTATAATGATATATAAAATACAAATATAATGTGATGGAAAAGTGAAATAAAACTGAAAAACAATAAATGAAAATTTCTTCTAATCATTCTTAATTAAAATACATAACTAGTTAGTATATCTTTGGAACAAATATAAATTACGAACAAATACAAGATTCATACACTATATGTAACCTGAGATTTTGAATAAATACAAATATTAAAAGCATACGTATTGG